AAGTTTTTTTACGTATAGGCACTGATCTGAATCCCAGTGGAAATTCACTTTCTGTGATTGCCTGCCCCACCCCACCCCCCATCTTCTCAGTACAGCTTTGCTCCATGTAATGCCCTGTCCTGAGAACTATACTGTTTTGGTGTTATGGCCTCTCATATCCATCTCTCCATGGATTCTACTTTCCATAGCCTGTCTGGAAACTCACCAGAGTGAACAAAGTGAAGATCACTTTATGCACTTCTCACATTCAGAGACCACAACTTCTTCTTAATTTTATGTCCAGAGCCCTAAAATCAAGGTCCAATGCTCTAAAGTCATAATACTTCAACATACGTGGACATTACTTCAGGCAGGAACTTGAGTCAAGTCTGGGTTACTACATATTGGCTAGAAGCAGAAGTCTCTAAAATTATCTTTAAAATTATGATTTTTATACTCTATTAATAAAGTAAGTCAAAAAAGCTCATTGTTTTGAACAAGATTATGCTGGCAGTAAATAAAGTTTTATTAGCAATAGCTTTGTCTAGAATTCAGAACCCTGTCTTCATTATATCTAGAAATCTCCAACAAACCTCCTTCAAGTCTGTATGTAGGCAGAAGTGTTTTTGAGAACATATGTTCACTATACAATTTCTGATTCCTAGTAAACTAATATTAAGTCATGTTGAAGTCATGCTGATAAAATGCATACTTACTTTTATTTTTATTGTTATTTTTTATTAAGAGATTTTCTATTCATTTTGCATATCAACCACAGATTCCCCCATCCTCCCTCCTCCCACCCCCCAGCCTTCCCACCCAACCCACCCCCCATTCCCACATCCTCCAAGGCAAGGTCTCCCATTTGCATACTTACTGTTATTATATTATAAGTTTACTATTATCTAGTGTGTATTGAAGTTAACAGATTGAAATTTACAGAGTTTTTCCAACACCATTTACACAACGCTGTCAGCTGTCAGCTGTCAGCTGTATGTTTATTTTGTATCAAAGTGCTTCCTAGAAGGTAAAACCTGGTATCTATATACACACTTTTTATGCAGAGATAATGCTTAAATTAACACATAGAGACATTTAATTTCACTTATGTATCTTAACATTATAAGAAATTACTTCTGGCAGTTTTTCTGTAGAAAACATTATTACAGATTATATTTTTCTAAAAGTTGACATCTTATTTTGACCCATTCCTGGCACATATATATTAATTTTTTTCTCAGAGAAACCCTGAGCACCAAATAAAATGTATCACTGCAGAATTTCTGTGTTTACATATACACACATTATAAGGCAAGTGATATATGTTTATTTATATATATATTAAAATCTTTAGTGAATGAATAAAAGAATGAATGATTACTTTCAAGCTTCTATAAGCCCGTGACCACACATTTTATTATTTCATTCAAAAACTTACAACATTTCATTTCTACAAAACATATGAAGTTGAGCAAATTACAGGTCTATATTCATAGATTTGACTGTGTGGTGTGTGCTTCCATCAGTAAATGCACCAGATAGTAAAAAGAGATATATGTAGAGTTGATACCATAAGAGAGTATAAAGAAAATTCTACAGCGTGTGCCCTTAAAAAATCAGGCAACTGATTTATCCATTGAGAAGACAGACTAGATTTTGAGATGGATTCAGAAATATTAATAATGTTTTGGTAGACAGAAATATGCAGCAAGTAAATCCCAAGCAGGAGAAAAAAATGTTTGAAAATAGACTGCTTGGGTAAGCAGACCGTTCTAGTTGCCTGGTGCTTGTGAGAAAGCATAACAGATGATGTCGGTGATAAACCGGAGCTGCTTGAGAAACAGAGCGGGGGGAACGTGTTAGCAGCCTGGAAACAAGCACGCTGAGACTGTTGATAAGGTCTTTAGATAATAATAACACAGCTTTGGAGATGTATGCATCAAGAACTGGCAGCTATAAGTAGGAAAAAAGTGGGCAATGCTGGAGGCTGCGAAGCCAAGTTGAGGTTGGAATAAAATAATTGTGGGTATCAACAGCATAGGTATAAATTGTAGCGTATGCTGAAGATGGTTTAGAGGGGAAAATTGGAATGATGCTTGGTTAAACACAGGACATTAAGAAATAAAAAGAAGAGATTTTGCTGCAGAGAAAGAGTTGTACGAATTTATTCAACTTGTTTTTTTAGCTAGCATTTCCAAAAAAGAAACCACAGAATACTGAACACCATGATGGAATGTGTGAGAGCCCATGGTAATCTGAATGTAAGCTGTGTCCTCAAGGTCTGTACACAGAAATTGAGGCCAGAAAAGTCACAACAACACAGCAGGGTAAATAAAGTGTTGAAAAGCACTCCCTTTAATAACTACCTTTTCTGTAACGTTAGTGACTTGGACGTTCTCAGCTTGCAGGGTTAGTACTAGAATATTCGTACAACCAATGGAATCTGGGAGTCCAAGGAACAGCAACAATTCATCCCTATAAATATTCTGCTCCCTCTTAACTCCAGATGTGCACTAGCCTGCCAAAGCAGAACTAGACACAGTATCTTTTTCCCCCCCATACAGAATTAAATTGTGTTTACTCTGCCAAGTAGAAATGGCAAGAAAAGACACTGGAAATGTTTATAGCAAAAACGAATGACCATTTAAAGAATAGGCTATATTTTACAAGGCCACACTTAAGAGTACTCCTGGTGAGTCCAAATAGCAACAGTGAAGTAAACACTTCTAAATTAAAAATAGACTAATCGGTATTTAATAAAGATCCTCATTTTTTGAAAATTCCAACAGCCACTTTTGTTCTTACTCTTTTTTGAGAAATGTACCAGGCACAGATTTTTTTCTTACATTGCAAATGAATATTGTTTCTAAAGAGCTGATCCTGGTTTCAAGTAATTCCAACCACCCTCTGGTTTCACCAGTGTTTGCTATTAGATTGTCCTTACTTTTACTTCAGTAAAGCAGGTACTTACCTTTTTTGTCAGCACTCACCAAGTTTTCCTGTTAAAATTCATAAAATTTGTGTTCATCCAGGACAACGAAAATGCATTGAAGATGAGCACATGGCAGCAAAGATAATGAACGTGGCTGCAGACAGGGGTGGTGTCCTGTACTCTGTGTGCAGAAACAAGCCAATTTTTGTTGTGTTCGTCTATCTCCAGCAGTTGTGCTGTTAATGAGAACAGGTGATATGTATACTCTGCCCTCAGACCTTCTGTCTCTTGAGTGCGGAATGGAAGGTCATCTTTCTTTTCCTACTAGTCAGATAGGAAGGTGTCATATTCAGAAAATTCATTATTCTTTTTTTTTTTTAACTAAAAGAAGTAGCAGACTGTTGTTATGATGATTTCTGCAGCATCCAGTCAGTACTGAATTCTATTAGAAAAAATGACCAGAGGTACCCCCAAGAAGATGGTTACAGGAGAACTGAGTGAGAAAATGCTGATAACTGGCTTTTTAGTGGTATTTTACCCACTTATTGCAAAGAAGCATTTCTTTGGTTAGGGGTGATGACAACACATATCTGAGAGGGATAAGGGCAAATATTTTTAGAATATAATTAGGGATTATGCTAGTGTAATAAAGCAGTGGCTGTAGATTCTTTTCCAAGATCCTCTAAGGGGTTGTCTAGGTTTCTAGTACTAGGCATATTTTCTCTCTCGTTGAGCAGGTTTTAAGTCCAATCAGAAAGTTGTTGGTAACTGCCGAGATATGCATGCCACTACTGCATCCTTCGGTTTATCACGCCATGCTGGTTGTTTTGTAGTTCATAGCTACCCTAGCTGGGTAGGACTGTTGGTTACTTCCCTTCTTTGGAAACTTTCATAATACCTTCTAGTACCATGGAAGTTAGTCCTTAAGGAGGAGACATTCTGCTTAGCCCTAACTCAGAGGCTTCTAGACCATTTCCCAAGTGCATCGTACTTTCAGCAATAGGGACTTACCTTCTACCTCTCTGAGTAACAAAGGGCAATAATAATAAAATAATAATAAAATAATAATAATAATAATAATAATAATAATAGTCTGTAATGTTTTGGGAGTCTCTTGGACAACTCTGACCAATGACTTAATAGAAGGCTTTTCATTTCTAATTTTGGGGTTCTTTTTCTAGATAATCTTTGGCTCTTTGAGAGAGCATCATTAGCTTAGATGAAAAAAATTCATCTAAATCATATATATATTATATATATAAATAATATATATATACAGATGTATGTGTATTATAGATATTTTTAAGGTGGATAGTTAATAGTATGATTCCTTGTGACTTTTCCAGACATCTTTACTGTTATTTTATGCTCATCTCTCCTTCTGTTTTTATTTTCATCCCCCTCCCTAAGCAGGGCCTCTCCCTTTTCCCACCCAGATCACTTGTACTCTGCTCTGTCCCTCTTTGTTGCTTCTCTACAACCTTACCCTGACAATAAATAGTTCCTTTTTACTTTCTTGATTTCTGCAGTTACTTCAGGATGTGTACGCACATCTGAAGATTTGGAGCTACGACCATTCTCTGAGAAAGAACATGTGGTGTATGTCTTTCTGGCTCTGACCTACCGTCCTAAGCATGGAATTTTCTAGTTCCATCTATTTACATTCAAACTTTATGATTTCGTATTTCTTTCCAGATGATTGGCATTCCTCATCTTTTAAAACTTACGTTATCATGTAAAGTAGTGAGTTTCATTATGAAAACTTCATACGTATTTGTTACTATATGATGGGATATGTTTCCCTCCCTCGGTGCTCTTCCCCATCCCACTTGCTCGTCTTTCCTCCTTCCAAGGTAGACGGCCCTTCCACTTTAAAGTTACATTCAATCCAAGAAAACCAGCAGCGTTCTTCTGACCTCACTTCTATGTTGAGAGACCCCAGCCCTCTCCCTCTACTGAACAGGAAGAGAAGCAAGCATTTTAAGGTCTTTAGCCTTTTGTTCGAGTAGGTGCAGTTTCTCTTTCCTTAGATTGTACTAGTTCCCACAAGACAAAGAAGGCAAAGGATTGAAAATCCTTCTGAGGAAGGGTGGTGTGGCTGGACCAGCACCGGCCTCACTATGTCTGCCATTTTCAATTTTCAGAGTCTGTTAACTGTAATCTTGCTGCTTATATGTACGTGTGCTTATATTCAATCCTTGGCACTCAGCCTCCTTCACAGAAGTAAAACTGGATTAGTGGGAATATTTTGGAAGTGTGCCCGAATTGGTGAGCGCAAGAGTCCTTATGTTGCCGTATGCTGTATAGTGATGGCCTTCGGCATCCTCTTCATACAGTAGCTTTGGAAACTACCAGTGTGTGATTGCCATCAGACTCTGTAAACAAGGACTTACCACCAGAAAAATAATGCGAAGAATGGTTAACCCTTTTATCTCTGAACATGAAATGAGATAAATTGTGAGATGCTGTTCTCTGTTTTTATGCTGTTGGACCAATGAGCTATATAAATAATTAAGATGTAACAGTTTAATACATGGGAATGTGATTATAGCGATCAACCTCAGTTCTGTCATCCAGTATTACACTCTGGCAAACGTCGTTCTGTTGTGTGGGGACTGCTTTCCATAAGGTTCTTGAGGGCACGAAGTAGAACACAGAGCTGGCGGGCGGATTCCACAGGCTCCTTTCACTGGGCTGAAAATGTCTTCACAGAGTGAGACCTTCTAACGACTGGCCTGTTTTATTGAGAAAAACTGTTCTATTTTTGTTGTTACTGTTCTGTGGATTGCATTCATATTTAAACCATTGTGATTGCTAAAAACAAAACAAAACAAACAAACAAACAAACAAAAAACAAAAAAACTACTTCTGAGACTACGTGTGTTAATCAGTAGCCCAGAAACAAAAGGGCAGTAACAATGGCAAGGAAATTATGATGCTGTGTGCCAAGCTCAGGTGTATATGGAAACAACCTAGCTTGCAATATTGCGAGTTAATTACTCTTCCTTTGTTTTAGGTAGGAAAAATAATTAGTAAATTAAATTTACGAAATTAAAGCAATAGTAGTTGGATTTTCTGAATTTTATGATATTGCTGTTCTCAAATATTTGGGTAAGTCTCAAAATGTGTGCAAAGTTCATTTTCCCCTATAAATTAGGTGGGAACACACCTCTTCAAAACACAGATTATCAATGCAGAAAAAATGGATAATATAGAGACCTATAGGAAACTATGAATCCATTTGCTAGATCATGTGTTGATTAGAATGTTGCCAGGGAATTGTTTATTATGTTTAACATTCTCAACCAAAAAGTTCTCTTGGATTGGGATACCACACAGGTTCAAGCTGCAGAAGGTTCTAGTGCTGAGATGGGAAAGTGAACCCAAGCTCATATCCTTAACCAAGAACTATCTCCAATTGAAATCCATAAGCAAAGGAAAAAATAGTTTTCTCCTATGGGGTCTTATCAGGTCTATTAACCACACTTAAGGGTAGGCCCCATGCCCAGCAGTAGATGATCAACACAAAATTAACTCAATGATATTTTTATGGACCTTTCTTCTCATATTGCTTTGTTTGACATTTTTTTTTGTCTTGCTCTTCTTTACTTGCATATTATGGTTTCTGATTTTTGTGTTTTTATTTGTGTGTGTGTGTGTGTGTGTGTGTGTGTGTGTGTGTGTGTGTGTGTATGTTGTGGATTTTTATTCTTTTTTATTGTTTTATTTTATTCACCTGTTTTCTTTTCCTAAAGAGAAAGAGAGAGAAAGAGATGGAGGTAGAGTTGTATGGGCGGGAAGATGGGGAGGATCTGGATGGCGTTGGAAGTGGAAAACTGAGATCAGAATATATCGTATGAAAATTGTTTTCAATAAAAATATATTTAAAAAAACAAAGTGGCTAGAGATTCTACTGAGAGCACTAAAATATCCACAAGGGAGCCCTCAAAAGAAATATTCTCCAGTTTTAAATGTCAGGAATGCATGGTTAGGAAACCCCAACTTAAAACATTCTGTTCTCCGGTTCCTCGCTCTTGTCAGTTCACTCCTGCCAGCATTTCTAACTTAGAGACAGAAATAATATCCAATCATGTTATTTCTACAGTGCATCCCATTTAAACCATATGTTGCAATAAATACGTTTTTAAAGTTTTTATTCTGTACTTGTAGCATTGGTACCCAATGTAATCTATAAATGTACTTTTAAAGTTCAGATCTGCATCAACATTTCCATACACTTTGGGGAAGCTTATCAGGCTTATCCACCGAAACCACTCTCCATGTCAACAGAATTCTGTATAAATGTGTTGGAATATTAACTTATTAAGTTTAGTAAGTTGAAATTGGGGGAGTTCCAAACTCCATACCATACGATCTACACTTTCCTTTTCAAGGGTATACACCTAAAAAACACTTGTTTATCATGGTACTCATCACTATTGCCATGCTATGGAATTGACCTAGGGGATCATCAATGCATGAATGAGTAAAGAAACACACACACACACACACACACACACACACACACACACACACACACACACACACATATAGTGGAGTACTATTTACCCATAAAGAAAGGGAAAGATTTGATGATTTAGGGAAATTGTGCGACTAGAAATCACAAGTTAAGTGAAATTGGACTCAGGAAGACAAATATATTGTTTCTTTCATATTCAGAATTATAATTTAACAAAGGAGATGAAATGTTTGAGAAGAGGAAGGGGCCAGAGGTGTAGTAGAAACAAGAGAAGGTAATGGAGGTTAAAATGATAAGCCTATATTTTTCACATCTATGTAAATGTCATACTGAGCATCATTATCTTGCATAATTTTATGCACTAATAAAAGTTACAATTTTGGGTGGCTGGAGAGATGGCTCAGTGGTTAAGAGCACTGACTACTCTTCGAGAGGATCCAGGTTCAATTCTCAGCACCCACATGGCAGCTCACAACTGTCTGTAACTTCATTTCTAGGGGACTGATCACCCTCACACAGACATACATGCAGGCAAAACATCTGCGCACATACAATGAAATATATCTTTAAAAAATTACAACTTTTAAAGCATGACCTGTCTTTAAACACTTCATTTTTTCCAGTTCTCACACTCATATAGAAGAAGTACTAGCATTCTGAGACTTGGACTCAAGGTGAACTTTTTTTTTTTTTTGCAGAATGACTGAATACACTGTTCTCAATTGCAGGCTCTCCTGCTCTACAAAGGGGCCATTTGGGGTGCCCACATACCTGGTGGTTGGAGTGTAGTGGGACCTAGGAATGGGTGTGAATAATCTTTCTGTGGGTTGAGTTGCACCCAAGGAAAAATAGGAGCTGAGTTTCAGAATGCAGCTTCTGTACTCTCTTTTAAAGAGTTTTATTTATCTTTAGGTTAAATAACATTCTAGAATATGTAAGCAAAATCCCTGAGGCACATGGTATAGTAGTTGGAACAGATTGCACAAAAGTAAAGCTTGTACGAGCCATGTTGGGAGCCTAGTGTTCTATGAATATCCCAGGAGAATACACATTTAAATAAAATGTAAATTTTCCGACACTAAACTGATTTTTTTTTCAGGAGGCATAAATGTTATCCATCTGGAAGTATAGGTATCCATTCATGTGAAGTATTGCTCCTCTGTTGTAAAGGTCAGTTGGGGTTTTTCTAAACTTCATCTCTCCATCCTTATGCCATAAACTCACTGTGGAGTGACATTTCTCTACAGAGAAAACTTTATGATTGCCGTCTTTTGATTCATGATACAATGGTTGAATTATAATTGCGTGTTCATTTATTTTTAGGTTTATCAAGTCAAAAAGGATGTTGAAAATGCAAAAATCTCAGAAATAGAATTACTACAAAAATCACTCAATTGATAAAACTACTTCATTATTATTTGTAGAAAACAAAACACACATCATCAACTCTCAGAATATGTGCAAAAACTGAAAATATAGTGCTGGTAGTGCTCTTTATTCCTAGGTCATAATATGTTTGGAACTAACTTGAAAATAGTAGAAGAATTTAACTAAACCAATTGACTGGCTTTCTTCAATAAACCCAAGTTAAATCTCATATTTGATGTGGTTTCTTACTGGCTTTCTTAAAAACAATGGGATCTAAATCAAGTTTTTTTTCTCTATGAGACAAATGTAAAAATTTCAAGAAGAGAAAAATGTTTGGAGACTACTAGGGTATGAGAGCAATAGAATTTCCTAGGTTCCAGCAGATTCCTAAGTTTCAGTGGTCCCATTTGTATTTAAATACCTATTTTGGGATTCCCCCTTACCTTTAATTTTCTTTTGAGTTTACAATTTTTACGCTTGGCATATCAGACTTACTTAAAATATTATTTTCTATATCTTTCCTTCATCTACTTCCTTATAAGCATTAAAATGTAAAAAAAAATGTTCAGTGCAAGATGCTTGATAACGTGTTGTTAGAGAGAAGATATGTGAGTCATGGTATGTGTTTCAGAGAGAGTTCAGAATAACTCCAAACCTGGCTGACTGACAAATAAAGATGCTTCTCTTAAAGCCCCCCTTAACTTTTAGACTTTTCTTTTAAATCATTTTCAAATGTATTCACCAAGAATCATTATTCTGCCTGGACTCAAACTCACTGAAGCCAACTCAGCTATTCAATAGGGATCAGGGACTATTTTGGGCTAACTGCCAGAGAATCAGGGCTGGCTACGGATTTGAGGCCACTAACCCATCTCAGAGATTGTGAGGTCAAGTGTTACCAAAGACATCAGCATTTGTTGGGTGATATCATAGAAACAGACTCTTCTGGCAGTTTGGGTGAGGCACTTGATTTTCTAGAACCTACTTGTACTGCACATGAAGAGTACTCTGAGGACATACAATATATGCTTTTCTAAAATTTACTATTTACTACTAAGGTCTAACTAAAGCAAAGCCTCCAAGAGTCTCTGCAGTCTTAACACTTCCAACATAGTTCAAAGATCCAAATTCAATGGGTTTCCAGGACTTCAAGGCAAAGTCTTAGCAGTGAGCCCCCATACAAATACTTTTAAAAAATTAAATACATCCAATGAACAAAGACAATGACTAAACATTCTTTTTATAAAGTAGGATAATGAAGGTGCAGAAAGGAAGGATGGGATGAACGCAAGACCGAAACCCCGAGGGCCAGCGTTGACTCCTGTGGGTCTTCCTGGCCACTAGTGTATGTGCTGTCAGGATGAGAGCTCAAACAGTGCTGGGGATCACTCTTCCTCTGGGTTTGCTATTTGCAGCTTCTCTTTTTATTGCCCACGGCTTTGCTCAGCCTATATTTTATTTCATGTTTCAGATATTGCTAATATCCAGAGATCTCCACAGCAACCTAGTTTTCACCTGAAAAGCTTTGTATATTGTCTTTTAATAGGGTGCCAACAAATGATCTCAGTCAGTTATATATTGCTTGTTCTCTCGACATAGCCTTTGGAATCTTGGTGTACCTCTCCGTGACCCTGTCTAAGTTCCTGCAAACTGGCTTCATATTGGTAAGGTCAAGAGGCCATGTCCTGCTTCCAGCTTGAGC